ACCGCCTTCACTCCTTGTTGATAAATGTGCAAATAATGACACGAGAAAGTGACATTTAGATTAATATTGTAAAGCTCTCTCTCTCTCTCTTTCTCTCTCTCCTTCTGTGTTCGTTTTATTTAAATATCTGACAATGCGTGCAATTTCTAAAATAGCCGGTAGAAGGCGCAAATGATTAAGCATTAATGTGTGATGGAGGCAGGAGCCGCTCAGATGAGCATTTTTGGCCAAAGTTGGAGGGAACAGAACCTCAGATTAAAGACTGGCCCCGGATAATTAAAGGCGGCTGCTGAGTTCAGGGTTAGAGCGTCATTATGTGATGCTCTACAATATTTTTTTAGTGCATAAAACTTAAAGGCAGCAACACAAACACATTTGTTTTTACTAAGAAGTATTTCTGTCACTTTGCTTAGATAATAAAAAAACTAATCAGGATTACTTCATTCATATAACAGCTTATTTTGTAATAAAAAAAATCAATTCCTGAAAGTACTAAATAATAATAATAATAATAATAATAATAATAATAATAATAATTCCTTCTGATTAAAAACATATTGATGCCGTATATTCTATAAGATTTTGACACTAACTTGGATTTTTAAAAAAAAAGCAGAATAAACCATTTGTTCGCACAAAGCAAGAACACATGTTCATCTGAATAACAACAGGGCTGTTAATAAGAACAACAACAAAAAATAAAAATAAAATAAATAAGTAAGTAAAGCAAACACACACACACACACACACACACAGCGCGCGCGTAAATGCGCCCTAATGATCCCCAAACGCGAAGCTCCTACAGGGCGAGAACATAGCTGCGGTAGTTGCACCTAATTAGATAAACTGTGAAAACTTTGCAGCAGGTCTGCATGTGTGCAGCAGCGGTGACACAAACCAGAGAGACTTGCAGTGGCCCTTTCTTTTTTTTTTTTTTTTTTTTTTCATTTGCAGATCCCAACATGTTTGCAGCGCAGAGCTGCGGGGCTGCGAGGAGTTTGACCTCGGTTTGACTTCTCCGGGGGGGGGGGGCTGCCATTTGTTCCTGAACTAACTCCGGCCATTACCCTAAAACTCCTGACTGCTTCGAAGTTTGGTGATTAAAAAAAACAAAAAAAAAACAACAAAAAACAAAAGTTGTATCTTTTCCTGCTAAAAATCTGTTCTCAAACTGAACAGTGGAATTTGTTTTTTAAAGGTCATATCAATATGGAAAACAGAGGTTATATATATATATATATATATATATATATATATATATATATATATATATATATATATATATATATATATATATATATATAGGTTTTTTGTTGTTGTTTTTCTATTTAACCTTTGATTGTGTCCAAACGCAGGAAAACACGAAGACGACGTTTGGGGCCGTCTAACTATGAACGCTTTCCCATTTGTTTCTCCGGTCAAACGCGCTGCTGTCAATTTGCATCCAGGCACTTGAAAGTAATACGCAGTGATTTTATTGAAACGACTCAATGCATTACCGTCACCGCAAAGCGGATTAAGCCGAAGTGACGGTATTTGCCCTCCGCGCTCTTCTTTCAGGATCGCCTCCCCCCCACCCCAAAAAAGAAGAAGAAGAAGAAGAAAAAAAAACGCACTGACCCTCACCAGAGAGCAGCTCCAGGAGAGACTGCGGCTCTCCAGTTCGCTCTTTTTTTAATTTTTATGGACGCTAATTGAAGGAGCTTAATTGCTTTATAATGCCATGGTGGTTATTTTACAGTCAGCAGGCACTGATGTCAACTCCTTTCATGTTAATTCGTGGTGGCTTCTTCTTAGTCGCTCGCTCAAGATGTCACTATCACACGGGATAGAAATTTCAGCGTCTATTTGTTTTCTTGTTTTAATTATTTCACTACAAAGAACGCGATTAAAAAAAGTGTCCAATTAATTATTTACAATTGCGTTAAAAAAAAAAAAGATGGAGCGTCATACTTACCAGCCAAACAGCTGAAATAAACAGAACAACAAGTCAGGGTTACGTGTTGGTCCGTGTTTTCTCCGTGCGTAAAAGTCCCCGGCGGATCCTCTGGCCGTCTGAACGCTTCACGGAGGAGCCGCGCGCCGGCCGGACTGCAGCAGCCTGTCTTTCTTTCATTCATTCATTCTTTCTTTCTTTTTTAAACCGGTCATTTCATGCCCGAAAAATCGTCCCCTCGGATCCGACCGCTCGCGGGGACTTAGTGGCTCAGGAATCAGCGCTGAACGTGTGAAGCCGCGTTATCCATGTTGTGACACCGGCGGTGGCACCGGGGGGCAGATGATCGATGGCTGGACGCTCCTGGGCGAAGGGGGAGGAAAAAAAAAAAAAAAAAGAAAAAAACTTCAAACCGACAAACGACACCTTCTGAGCTCAATCAGGGGGACATTAGGGCTCTTCTCCTCTCACACTCTGTTCATTCACAAGAAGCAGTGGGAGGAAGAGATGCGTAAAACTCTGAAGCGAGATCAGATAAACGTTGTTTATGTACACGTATATTTAACATTTTATCATTTTGGTCATTTCTGGAAACTCTACATCCATGTTTTTCCTCGTACACGCCAGTCACGTGCATGAAACATCTCATTGTTTATTGTTTTAATGCAAATATCGAGGTAGTCTTAATTGAAGTAAAATATATATATATAAAAAATAGAATTTTAAAAGGTTGATGGAAATCAAATAAGTTACTGTTAAGAAATCTGATCTGACGAGGCAGATTTTTTTTTTATCAGTTTTTAATAATTTAAAACCACACGGCATCAATAATGCAGTCAATAATGCCAGTACATTCATTTTACGTTCCGCACCGTCATTTAAAATTCATTCATGTTCACCAAAAACTTTTAGAATCTCTGCAAACAAAACGATTTGGCGCAAATTAGTCAGTTTTTCTTGTAAAGTGAATTAGTAATTAATTTAACTTTAAATGCACACATTTTTGCAACATGGTCAGAGTTTAACTTTGTTTACTTCAAGACGTTTTGAAAAACCTGCAAAAAAAATATATATATATATATATATATATATATATATATATATATATATATATATATATATAGATATAGATATAAAAAAAATTGACCCGTGTACATATATATGTATGTGTGTGTGCATTAGACTGAAAGAGAAACACACAGAGACCCTTTTTGGTCAGATAATTTGTTTTTTCAAATTGAGTTAAGCACCGTGGAAACCGGCGGAGGCGCAAAGTTGTGTTTTTTCTCTCCGCAAACTACCTTTTTTTTTTTTTAGTTTGCGCCCTCTCGCAAATATGGCCTAAGAACTCGATCAATCAACTTCGGATCGATCACGGTACAGAGAACCAATAGAGGGGGAGCCCCCAGCCCTGCGCCTCTCTGCCATTGGACAGAGCGGGCAGAGTGGAGCGACCCATTCGGCGCAGCTGCGGGGGAGCGGGGAGCGGACACCATCAGCTGCGATTCAGACCTAAAAAGGTGCGCTCACAAAGAGTTTGCACTATTTCAGTTTAACTTTAAGATTAAGACCAAAACTGAAATTCCAATTGTTTTCCTTTTTTTTTTATGTAGCAACAAAAAATGAAGGGCTAAATGCAAACATCATTTACAAATAACCTAGTTATTCTTATGGAATGTAATAGTGTGCTCTCTCCCCAATTATTAGATGTGTTGCTCATTTTCATAATTTTGCTCCGAGGTTAATATTAATCCAAATAGTTTGAGTAAGTGGAGGGAAGGTCCGCAACTTTCAGACAAATGGACCACGCTAATAAAACAGACTGTTAAGATTTTATCAATAAAACTGAAGTAATCATTTGCGTACATTGTGTGGGTAGGATTTAATAAATTATTCTGGAGTATATACTACAGAAGCTCAACAGCTATGTGAGACTTGATAAGATTTGATAAGATTTACTCACTCGACTAAATTAACTTGGTTCCAGTTGAGATCATTTTGCTAATCTGGTTTGTTCTCCAGTGGTTAAAACAAAACATGAAAACTAGTTCACCATTAAGCTATAAAATGTAATGCTAATCTAGCAAAGTCACAAAATGGAGCTGGAATAGTGAACTTTTAAAGTTTATTCCTTAAAGGTGGAACACAAAAAAATGTTCCCAGTCACCCTCAGCTAGAATGAACCATTCAAAATCAATGACTGCCGACGGTTCAGGACACCGAGCCTGCTAGCAACGTCACCTTTAGCGTTAGCCCTGTAGCTAAGCCAGCTAAAGCTGACAAGGTATTGAAATAGTAAACATGTAAAGTTTGTCGCTTAACTTGTTAGCAAGTTTGGCCATAAGCATTATGGTCAAACTTGCTAAAAGCTGAATACAAACCGAGTTCTTACTCAAACAGAAACCATCACAACCGCACATCTTAAGGGAACGCGTCGTTTTAACCGAGTTGATTTATCCACTCATAATACACCCGGTATAAATATCAGCCTGTCTGCTCCCTGTTTGACACAACACATGATGAGTGAGAATAACAGTTGACTGAACCAAATGTTTTAGTCAAATTCTAACAAAATTGTTAACGCTTGATTCAAATTTCATATCATTTTACCGCCTAATGTTCAATACCCTCCAAAATTCCTTTTTTATAGTGTGGCGACAGACTGTTTTAAAAATATTAGTTTTGAAACTTTAGGAAAACAGACGAACCCTTCATTTACACTCCTGACTATCAGGGCTCTTAATTACACACCTGACAATAACTCGCACCGAATTAAAAGCTGGATTAATTAGTCGTCCATAAACTATTCACAAGCTCCATAAGTGGATTATGAACCCATTAGCAGCTAAAAATCTGCATGTTTTAAAGACAAACAGTGAGTGTTTGGGGATGAGACTCGAATCTGAAACCATAAGTGGGTTTTAAAATATAAATACATTTTTTTAATGTTCATCCCAGAGCGGCTGGCTCCGCTCCTCTCCCAGGGTCCTCCCACCCCTCCTCTCTGCCGCCACTTGCTGCAGCCCGGTGCGTTGTGTAAGACGCGACCTGTTATGGCCACCGCTACTTCCGGGTTTCAGCAGTCTGGTCCAGATCCTCCGCGCTCCTCCTCGAGCTCGAGACGCACACAACATCCCCATTGTGCGCAAAACGGCCGAGGCGGCTCACGCATGCACACGCACCCTGCGCACACTCTCCACCGGACGCGTTCGCGCACCCGCGCGCGCAGCATCGATCGTGGCTCCTTTAAGAGAGCCCAAGCCAGAATTATCACCCCACCTCCTCTTGATCTTCCTCTAGACGCTTTTGCATAAGAAAATCAAGCCGGGAGCCGAGAGTGATCAAAGAAAACGAGAGGAGAGCTGCTTCGTTTTTGAACGGTGATTGTGAACCATTAAGCGTTGAGGTGGTGCCGATCCCGTGGAGACGCGCGTCGGATCCATCATTCATCCGCTACTTTTGACAAGCCCCCCTCGCGTTGTGACTGACAAGTCGGAGTGGCAGAGAGAGAGAGAGAGAGAAGGGGAGAGAAGAAGAAAAAAGAAGAAAAAAAAAGCCATGAGAGTGGACAGTTTTGTTTAAAGGGGGTTTGTTTTATTTTCACCCCGCTTTTCGGGGGAAAAAAGGAACCCCGGCGCCGCTGCCGAGAGGACAGCCGAGGACGTGTATCCGCCGCGCCCGGGCTGAACTTGCACTGAGAGCGAAGCGGGAGCTGGCTTCACCGCTCCGTGGACGAAGAAGAAGAAGCAGCAAAGAAGAGTGAAAGACGAACTCGGGATTTTGTGCTGAGAGTTCTCCTCGTTTGTTTTGGATTTTCCTTCTGTCTTCTCTCTTTTTTTTTCCTTTTTTTTTTTTTTTTTTTTTTTACCCCCGCGTCCACCCTGGCCTCAGAGGGGATTTACCCGAACTGAAAGGACGACCAGGGAGTGAGGAGGGTTATGGCGCAACGGGTACGTAGGGGCAATCCTCCCCTGACAGAAAAAAGAGAAAAGAAAAAAGAAAAGTTTCTCTGAAGTCCACCACGATGCTTGCTCTGTAACGTGGCTTCACTGACGTTCGTACCCGCACACACGGATCCACGGTCGGCTGCAAAAAAAAAAAAAAAAAACTTTCTGCCCCGCGTGTCCTCCTGACCAAGAAATAAAAAATAAATAGACAAATGTAATGTTTGGCGTCTTTTGGCACGGTGTTGCGCACGGCCGCGCTCCACGAACCGGCCCCACTGCGGGACACTGGAAGCGCGATCATATCTCTCATCGGGCTATGTTTTTTAGATTAGTTATGACAGGCCAGTAACTGGAAGTGAATGACGGGGGAGGGAGGGCGGGTAGAGGCAAAACAAATCCATGCATTTTCCCCCTTATTTTGAAGAGTCCAGTCAATATTTACTACTCTAATTTATTTGCAGGATGGAGGGGATGAAGAAAACTTTAGCTCTTCTTCCAAAATCGCGCTTAAAAAAATGAGACAAAAAGTTTTTTTATTGTTATTATTATTATATTTTTTTTTTAGCAAGGTTGGCTTGATTCGGATAAAAAGTACTCCAGGGTGTAAAAGCGGTGGTGTTGTGGGAAACGGACCCATTTAGCTGCTTAGTTTGGCACTGCGCTGCAGCTGCACCACGCTGGGGTTTGCACCTCTTTGCCTTTAGGGTCGAAACGCTCAGCTTTAAGTGATAATGCTTTTTACTCTCTCCCCGACACTTGTTTGTCACGTCTTGAGAGCACCATCAATAATTCAGACTCTTTTTCTCCCCCAACCCCACACACACACCCTACTTCCAGTCTGCTAAAGAGGAATTTACCCTTGTAACTTTCTTTTTTATTATTTAAAAATTAGCTTATATTTTTCTTCCGAGCTTCTCCAATGAACTGATTGAGTGTATGCTTTTTAAAGCATCTACTAGGAGATGTCCAGCTCAAAACAGAATTATTTAGGTTGACTTCTTGTGTGTGTGGGAGGGGTGAAGGGGGGAGAAAAAGAAAAAAACACAATCCGCTTTCTGGTGCATGCACTATGCATGTTGTACTTAGTGTGTAGGCAACATTATGAGCCTTTAAAATTAGAAAGCGATGCAATTAACTAGTTTAAGAGATTTCGTGCACAGTAGAAAGGGGGGGAAAAAACAGGCTGATGTTTGTTGAAACCCAACTACTCACCGCTTTGAGTCGACAAATCCTCAACGAGCCACGTTCTTTTTTTATTTAATTTATTTTAAAAATGAATATGTATTTTTCTTTTCTTCCCTTTTGGCTTCAAGAGTAGCCATCATTGACCTGAGAGATAAAAAAATAAATAAAAATAAAGTCGCCATTGTAGCTTTTTTTTTTTCTTTTTTTTGCCTTCAGGAAACAAAGTCCTGCTCCAGACCTGCAAACTTTTCTTCTGAGCGGGAATAACTTGAAACACTGGAAATAAATTCATTACTCCACGTTTCAATATGAGTGTCAATATTTTTAAGAGCTGGAAAGACAAAAATATGCATAGAAATTTTCTTAAAATAATAGTTGTGAAATAAATTGGGGAAAATATATAAATAACCCAAAGAATTTCCCCTTTCCTTGATGATTGTTGGAAACATTTTTTTTTCTTTTTAATAATTAAAATGTCAAACGCAGCACATTATTAGATATTTCGTCTATTAAAGTTTCTGGTTTGACTCGAGTACATCCCCCCCCCCCCCCCCCACACACACACACACACCCAAAACACACACTTTTTGTTAACTGCGTGCTTGTTGTGTGCAGTACGAAGACTTGCCCCACTACGGGATGGACGGGGTGGGCATCCCGACCACCATGTACGGAGACCCGCACGGCGCCCGCTCCATGCAGGCGGTGCACCTCAACCACGGACCCCAGCTGCACTCACACCAGTACCCGCACACCGCGCACACCAACTCCATGCCTCCCAGCATGGGCTCCTCCGTCAACGACGCTCTCAAGAGAGATAAAGACGCCATTTACGGGTAAGGTGCGAACCGGCGTTCGGGTGCAAGCCGGAGTGAGCTTGAGGGTGTAAAAATAATTTAGTTGGGTGGGAGGGGGGGGGGACATTTTTATTATTGTTGTTATTATTATTTTTGTCTTTTTTTGGTGTAGAAAGTAAAGTAAAGATGAGCGTGTGATGAGCGCTCTGAAAAATGTGTACTTAGAGAGTGAGGCGAGTTTGCTACTTGTTTCTGCAAAACTAAATGAGAGAAAAAAGTGTTTAAGTTTACAGTTTGGGTGTACTGTCGCTTTAAATTTCCGCATAAAGTTTTTCCCTTCATTTTGAGCTAAACTCGACGTTTGCTAAACTTCTTGTTCTCGTTTGTTATAGCCTATATATTCACTTAACGATTTACTCATTTTATTTCTGTTTCGGCGTAACTCTTAGAATATGAGCATTAATTACCCTTTTTTATTTTAACAGTTATATATATATATATATATAATTGTTATATATATATAATTTTATATATATATATATATATATATATATATATATATATATATATATATATATATATATATATATATATATGGGTTTTTTATGCTAATTTATCTGACCTAATATTTCGAGTTAATTATGAATAATTCCCCCCCAAATAAAAAATAAAAAATATTCCAATGTAGAATATAGAAGTTTTCTTAACAGCGTTGTAAAGCTACTCTTTAAAAAAAATTAAAAAAAAAAAATTAAAAAAGCAATAAACACACACACACTTATTGCAACAATACACACTGAATCACACACGCCTCAGACCCAAACGGGAGACCTTGTGTTTGAAATTGTTAGACAGACTCTCAGGCTTTTATGCTATTAGAGGCAGAGCAGATTTAATCAAAGGAGTCCCCTCGCTGTTTGCAGCTCTTCTTTGCGCATAAACAGAAGGGGAAAAAAGAGGCGCACCGGGCTGCGGCAGCGGCAGTCCCCACGGGCCAAGAGCTTTGGAAAGGGGAAAGAGGCTATAGCCGCACGGCTGGCTACATCTTATAGCCCGGAGTAGTGTTGACCACAGCGCTGTTCTCTCTGGTGACATTTGCTATTGTGTGTGTGTGTGTGTGTGTTTCCAGGCACCCCCTGTTCCCCTTGCTTGCACTGATTTTTGAGAAATGTGAATTAGCGACTTGCACCCCCAGAGAGCCCGGGGTGGCGGGAGGAGACGTCTGTTCGTCGGAATCTTTCAATGAAGACATAGCGGTGTTTGCAAAGCAGGTCAGGACAAAAAAAAAAAAAGAAAAAAAAGTTTGACTTTTTTTTCTTTCTTTCTTGTTTTCTTTTGCTGCATGTTCATACCGGTTGAGCTCCTATGGCTAAGTGCCTCTTGCTTTATAACTTTTTCATGGAAAGAAGATCATTAAAGTTTTCAGCTGTGCGCAAATATTATTCTATTCTTTCTTTCTTTCTTTCTTTCTTTCTTTCTTCAAAAGTGCTATGCATCATTAATCCAAAGCGAACCTATTTTATGTTCATGCGTTTTTTCTGAAAGTGTTCATTTTGCTTGCAGATTCGGGCAGAAAAGCCTCTGTTTTCATCAAATCCAGAGTTGGATAATCTGGTAAGAAATCCAATTGTCACATGTCGCACATTTCAGATAGTATTTCTGGATGTTGTCGGGACGTCTCCTGGCGGGCTGCTCCTATTCGCCACAGAGCCACGTGGTGCTGAAAACTTAAAATGGGATTGCACATCATGTCTCCCCCCCTCCACTCGCCCAAAACCCCCCGATTTGTGCTGTTTGATATGATGATGGCCCCTGGTTGTATGTGCACATAAAGGGCCGCTGTTAGAACGCTGCCTTTGAACTCGGCAAAGTTATTATGTTCAGCCTTTTCTTAACCACTTGATGTTTTAAATGTGATGTTATAGAGCAACATTCCTTCTTCTTCTTCTTTTTTTTTTTAATCATTAGATTAGATGAGCGGAGGCTAATAGATCTCTGACTCTGAGGCTTATTGCAGCTCCAGTCTGCGCTCTTGCACGTCCCACATTGCAATAACGTCCAAGTTTAATATCACTTCCACATAAAAATCCATTCGTATGAATATTTCGCTCATCTGCAGCCACTTGCATTGAGGAAAAACGCGCGAGTTTAATATCAAGAGATGTGAAGTGCTCATTTTTTTATTGTTATTTTATTTTTCAGATGATTCAAGCCATTCAAGTTTTACGATTTCATCTTCTGGAGCTGGAGAAGGTAATATTACCATCACCATTTTTTTTTTCTGTCCAGCATGCCACTTCAGACCTATGGGCTGTATCTGCATAAATGTATTTTTGCGAGTCGGTTATAATTAGCGTCGAAATCAATCATGCGGCCATTTTTTTTTTTTTTTTTTTTTTTTTTTCTTTCGGTGTTTTTAAACCGGCGCAAGCTGTTACAACTGGAACGGATACTCTCTGTGCCCAAATATCTCTAATGAAGCTTAATGTTGGCAAGCGACTGCACGCAAGGTGAAACATGTAGGCAAACTTTGCGGGTTTTTTCCCTAGAATTGATTCTTTGCGGAGGGCAGAAGGCCCTCAGGCGGCCATCTGTGGGTAGACCGAGCGATGAGTGTGATATGGTCTAATTTGTTTCTGTATCAGATGGACCGCTGAAATCCCGCCGTCAACTTTAACTCTGAGAAATTAATACTACGCTTTTCTTTTTTCTCTCTCTCTCTCGATCTGCACACATATCTCGAGCTCAGATTGAAAAGAAGCAAACAGTTTTGATTTCCTTAGTGCAAGAAAATCACGTCGGGATGCTTCGCCCCAGCGGTGAGAATACAGCCCTTCTGAGACGACATTAAACAGTTTACCTTAAATGTCAGTCAAGCGGGTCGTCCTCGGCTTAATGGCCACTACCCGGGGCACCGATGATGAATTTAGCACGGGTGTTGAGTGTGTTGTAGCCTCTGAGCCCTCTTGTCACTGTCAATTTTCGACGATATCTCTATTTTGAGTGGAGAGAAATTAAAGTCACACAGCAGCAGCAGCAGCCTCTGACTTGATGAAAGCCAAAATTCACTTGGACCCGCGCGTTCGCCTAAATCAGTGGCCAATAGAAATCCAAAACACTGTTTAAAATGACCAAACTTTACAGCTGGAGTATTAACGTACAACTTTTAATATCTTGCTAATTTAATATTAGCTTGTTGAAAGTTGATTTTTTTAAATGCTCACAAAAGTAGAGCCAAATCTTTCCCTGATTATTGTTAAAATAACTATTATAGTTTTGAATTAAAGTGAATAATAAGCAAGGTGTGTTAAGCTCATGTAAACCCTGAAAGTATTATCACGAATTCAAATGTGTTTCCCTTAAGTCACATCGTTTCAAAACTGTGTTAGTTGTTTTTCTGCTTAGTTAATATTAACATGATTCTTGCCAGAAAGTATTGCAAATCAGTGCTACTTTTCTCCACAATGACTTACTGAACATTATTTCCCCACTGAAGAAATGTTTGTCATTTTACTGTTAAAACAACAAAACCTTTTTTTTTTTTTTTTTTTTTTTTTTGATTCCTCTCTCTCATTATATTTACCAAATTTTTTGCCCCAAAAATATTTTCATTTTTTTTTTTTTTAAAAAAAAAAACCTTTTTTTTTTTTTTTTTTTTTTTTTTGATTCCTCTCTCTCATTATATTTA